CTGATTGTCGCGAGAGACATTTGTACACTTTGCCTAAAATCCATAAGAATCCAACCAAGGAGTGGTTTATCTCGAATAAAATCCCTAAAGGCCGCCCGATTATATCTGACTGTGGTAGTGAGTCATATGCAGTGTCAGAATACATTGATCATTTCTTACTACCTCTAGCATGCCAACATCGCGCCTACCTTAAAGACACAACCGATTTTGTCAATAAAATAAAAAATCTTCGAGTTCCCTCTAATGCTATTTTAATTTCTATCGACGTTTCTTCTATGTATACCAATATCGATAACACTACTGGTTTAACGGCAGTTCGTAAAGGTCTTAATAGAAACCCAGATCCAAACAGACCCGACGATGCAATTCTACAGCTTTTAGAGATTTGTCTTAGTCGAAACGATTTCACATTCAATGGTAAAACATATTTACAAACTTCAGGGACAGCAATGGGCAAACGATTCGCCCCTTCGTACGCAAACCTTTTCATGGCAGAGTGGGAACGTGAGGTGTTGCCCCTCTGTCCATTTGACCCACTTTTTTACGGACGCTTTTTGGATGACATTTTTATGGTTTGGACTTATTCTATCGAATAGTTTTGGGAATTCTTTGAAATTCTCAACAACCACCATCCTTCTATCAAACTAACCGCAAACGTGAGTGACAAAAGCATAGACTTTCTCGATACCACAGTCTTTAAGGGAGATTCCATAGCAGAAACAAATAAACTGGATATTAAAGTGTATTTCAAAGAAACTGATACTCATCAACTCTTGCACAAGAGCTCCTTTCACCCAAAACATACCTTTTCTGGTATAATTAAGTCACAAGTTTTTACGATTTCATCGAATTTGTACAAGATCTTCTGATTTCAACCAAGCCTGTACGATTGTTTTCTCAAAACTGAAAGAGCGTGGGTACTCTAAACGATTTTTACGAATCATAAAAAATTCCACCTTAGCACAGATAGCAGCTAAAAACAGACTTTATGCCGAAGTACCTCCAGGTTTAAGAAGTGCTCCATGTTTGTCCAGTAGATGCAAAACATGTCCCTTTATATCAGAAACTCATTATTTTGTAAGCAACTCTACGAATAAAAGGTACCCGGTCCAGGAACATCTAACATCGAATGTAATATATTTAATTTCATGCAAGAAATGCCCCAAACAATATAGGAGAAACTAAGAATAATTTACGAACTCGCTTTAATGCTCATAGGTCAGACATCAAATTAAAGAAAGACAAGCCTGTTTCTAATCATTTCAACCTCGACGACCATTCAATAGACGATCTCGCCCTAATCCCAATTGAGCGTATAGAAATTGACTTGCCCGAAGATGAAACTACCAAATTCCGTCAATCTAGGGAGGCCCATTGGATTGAGACATTGAATACAGCAAGACCTATAGGACTAAATATTCATCATAATGTAGGCATAGCACCCTTTGTTGTCCCGTTTAATACAACCAGCAATCGAGCAAGCAAGATAGTTCATGCCCACTATAAGAGCCTTCAAGAGAAATTCCCCCATGTCTATAAGCAGAAAATGATAGTTGCATATTCAAAAAATAAGAACTTAAATGATAATATTGTTCATAGTAAACTAAAAACAATCAGTACATAACAGATACTATACTTCTTATTTTTTCTAATTTCAGATCAGAATAAGAACAGAAGAAAACCCAATATCAAGACCCTTAATCCTAATTTCTAAATAAAGTGTCTGCTCCATCCTAGGCCTGTACATTTGGGAGAATCAAACCCTCCCTTCCCCGAAATCTAATATTGTACTTTAATTTTTCCATTCCGAAATAAATTTCTGTATTTCTTTGTTCATTCACATAAATAATTAAAAAATCCAGTGTTGGTTTATCATGATTATATATTTATGGCACAGCAGAAAACAGAAGGCTGCTCATGGGGTCTACTTACTATTTCAGCTAGTCGAGAAACATAATCATCAAAACTTTCGGTGGTTTTATCTAAATAGCACATTTTATGCGTTTCATCTCTATAAGCAATTATTTTCTGAAAAATTACATAAAAACTATTAATGGGACATTACTTTTTTTTGTAGGTCGAAAATTGTTTTTTGCTCAAAATTCTGAAAACTATACACCAAAAATAGAAATGTGTCCCTTAACGCATCTGAAAGTATTACCTAAAATAATCCAATCCGTAATTTTTTAACAGCAATACTATTTAAAATATAAGTTTGAGTAAACTTTTTAAGTTCGGTATGCTTTATGGAACTAATGTACGAATTTAAGTAAAGTAAACGCCCAATTGTGAATAGAAATGTCTGGTCAGGTTTCAACTAATAATATCGAGCCTTCATAAACTCCAAAACTAGGAAAAAATGCTTAATTAACAATTAGTACTCTCCGTTTGTTATTTGTCCCTTTAAAACAAAGTACTTTTTCTTCACACTCTACAGTCAAATTCCAACTTTTGATTACTCACCTTTTGATAATCGTGAAGAATATTACTGGCTACAATGTGCCCCTGCTGTGTATTATTTATGATTATCACTTTTCTATCATAATCAACTTTTACATGTTCTGGTACTTTCAAGCCGCCATCATACCTTGGCTCGATATTAAATTCCTGAAGAAAATTTTAAATATAGATCAGATGTGGATAATCGACTGAAAATGGAACTATTCTCTAGACGCTATTTTTGTTTGATAATTCCGTCCTTACACATGGCAGTTATGACGAATTTGCAAAATGAAATATTAAGTTTCCTAAATATAAAAAAATGGACACTGTTTTCTTAAATAACATCGTCAAAGAGATTTTAAAATTCTAAAGCTACAGTGATTACAGATCTTGAAGCATGCACGAGCTACTAAACAATTCCTAAACACACAAAAATGCTAAAAAAATGAATTAATCTACTCTGTTGGTTCGATAATATATACCAGCGAGAATAATGGTACAGATATGTTGATTGAAATCAGAGATCCCTTAAAAGAGAAGGACATAAGGTGTTTGATTTATTGTGAAAAATCGAAATTGCTATCAGTTGCTCGTGTTCTATTTTGTACCAATCAAATTAGATATTTTTACTAATCTAAAAGCAAGTAATCATAAAAAATATTATAAATATAAATAAACTGCACGCTTACCGTTTGTTTTGATTTAAGATGGTGATGTAAGGCGATTGAACCCAACACCACAGCTGCTATGATGACAACAGAAATAATAACAACACCAGCAAAATACTTGTATTTCTTGTTGTTGTTGGTCTTTTGTGGTTGTTCTATGATTGCCGCTGTTGGAAACGCAACCTTATTTTAAAAAACAATTTTACTAAGTTCGAAAGAAGTTGAAAATGCACAATTTAAGTCATAGATGGTTTCGTTTGGAAACATTAAACGCCAATTAATAATTTGCCAGACTACGGCTATTACGAATTCATTTTTGTTGCTCGCCAAAATGAATTCAGGTCAAACTTCTTTATGTATACTCGCTTACCTTCATGTCTTGGCTAGTTCCCTTTCCTCCAAGTTCAACTTTTGGTGGTGTCATGTTTTCAGCTTACAACCCAGAATTAATAGCCTACGAGTGGTGTTTGTCTTTTCCTATCTGGGTCGACACTTACATACCTGCCATTAAATGTTGTCTAACCAATCATTTACTACTTCCCAGTCCTTGAAATCACCTTAGAATACAATTGAGAAGTTAATTAGAATGCATATCCATGCATATGGGTGCAAATGGAAGAAAGGGTTTTGATCCGAATTTTTTGGTTGAATCACGTTGTGATTATTATTTATTATATTTGATTACTTTTTAAAAAAAAGACTGTCTTAATGTTTGTAAAGAACAGGATGTAGAAATTATATTAGATTTTGTATAAATTATTCTGGTTTGTTTGCAACCACACTGGTAAAATTTGTATACGTACACGAGAAATGTGGAGCGTATATTGGATTTCGTGGAAGGAACGTTTCGATTCTCCCATGACTGTCCGTCAACAGTTACTCATAAACGCTCTTTAAGGCACAATTCTTGACGGATTTGATGAAAATTTACAAACTTGTTTATTGTCTCCCATGGATGAACCCTTTCGAAAAAAGGGGAATACTTTAAGGCCATGTCTCGTCATTTTCGGGGTTGATTTGGGTCATGAATATATGAAAATTATCTTGAGAAGTTCTAGAAATCACAAAATGGAATAATCCCTTTAAATTTATCTCAAACTAGAAAGTTCACTTTCTATTTCTATATATGTTTCTTTTATATATAATATGACAGTCTCAATAAAAGACGAGTCGTTTTTAACTTTCAAACCCGTCTCTGAAACTTAGGTACGATTGGCGAACATGTCCCTTTAATATGCCCTTGATCTTCGACAAAGCACTTTTAACATTAAGTTTAGCTTACGATTACAGAGACTTATAATGTGAGTTACTGTGATCCACTTTTGGATTGCTAATTTTAGAGGATTTTCATCTTGACAAAAGCCAAATTTGACAGAACTCATGGTTAAAAAGTTGAGTCAATCAAGACATTGCCGGATATACTACAATGTCTCTGTGACCCACACGTAACCGCAATACAGCGGAGGTGTAGGCTTTTCTCTTTTTCATACAACGCCATATGTTAAAGGGAGACAGTTAGGCCACTTTTCACCAATCATATTGAAGTCTCAGAAACGGGATTTTTTTGTATAGCTAAGCCAGTCAGTTATAGTGTTCTAAGCTCATCGTTAAAATTTGAGCCTTCAAATCCATGTGTGTGCAGATTATCCGCGATTGACGACTCGTCAATTTAAGATACTCTGTGATGTATAGAAAAGGCATGTAGGAAATGTGAGTAAAATTCCAAGATGAAGTTTTTTTTTAAGGAATTGTGCGATTTTTTGTTCATTTCTAGTTCTTCTGAAGACTACTTACATATATTCAAGATTAAAATCAACCCCCCAAAATGGCGCACCTGTCTTCCCTTGCGTTAAGACCATTGATGAATATTGACAATAGCAAAAATGTCACTGATAATTATGATAGTTTTATTAAAAGTTTTATTTTCTGAATATGAATCAAAATAATGTATAAAGCACTATAATTCTATAATTATTTAATCCTTGTGAGATTTCTAAAACTGTACCATTATACTTTCGGTATGACAACTCAAGACATTTCCTTCTTGGCTTCTTTTTTCTCTACATTCAACACTAGTGTCGGCAGCGTTGCATTTTATATTTGGATCACCTTTTGCCTCACCTGAAATTATATTGGAGGTTATTATCTCTTTAATGAGGGATATTACATAGATCATATACTAAAAAAGCACATTCATCTTGGCGACAATAAAATTCACAAAATCGCATTTTTGCTTTTTTGCCAAGTTAAGTGATCGACGCAGTGACTACTTCAGACCCATACGAAATTCATTAATTAAACTTCCAGTCTACAAACATGTCATATACTAACCCTTTGAGGAAGGTTCACCATCAATAACCCAAAATGTAGGAATTCCTTTACAATGATCAGCTATAGCATCTCCAGCGAATTTTCTTAAAATTCTTTTGTCCACTGGGTTGTCGCTTCTCGTCACACGTTTTATTGGAGTTGGTTCGGACACTTTCTAAAATGAATGAAAGGGGAATTAGTCTTATAATACATCCTTAACAATAAGTTAGTATTTTTAAGTTCTGTTTTAATATTTATATTTACAATATAAAAGATAAGTTTGATTATTTTAAATATTTTGTATTGATGAATGCATGGGTACTTATTTTTTCTATTCTTGGGTATCAATTCTGTAATAGCATGGTAATCTTCGTGTCCAAACCAAGCCCCCATTCGTCATACTTCCTCGAGACCGAGGTGATACAAGTGAGAAAAATTATGTATTCGTAGCTAAATATTGTCCAATCAAAATTGGCCCTACTGCCTTGGTAGTAAAATTTCAGCCAATCAAAACAAATCTCTCGTTTTGACGCTTCATTTCCATTTACCGATCTGATTGGTCAGATTCAAATAGCACCAATCTCATTTCCACGCCCACAAAACGAAGTGTAGTGGGCTTAATTTAATGATTTCACAATTACATACATGAATATTCTATGCTAAAAGACTATATAAAACTAATACTTATACAGATTTCTATTTCCTTAATTTGTTATAATATTTTAAGTAACAGAATCAGTCTTCGGTAGGTAAAAGGAAACAAATGTAGTGGCTTGTATATAATTATTAAACAAACCTTTAAAGATAACCGAGATACCCCTTCTTCGAACGTACCCGTAAGTTTGTCTATGTAACACACTTTATTCTCAATGTCCTTAAAAACCAGTAGTTGCTATAAAATAGTAATCACAATGTTGTAAACAAGAGGAAAGAATTATGATAAATGTAATATAGATAATAGTTATATCAGAAAAATAGGATGCCAGGCGAGGTAACATACCGTATCAGTGGTAGTTATGACACTTTTTGACTTTCCATCAAATTGATATTTTAATTAGGTTGCCAGATTGCCAGGCGAGGTAACATACCGCCACAGCAGCAGTTAAGAAACTTTTTGACTTTCCATTAAATTGATATTTTAAATAGAAAATAGGTTGCCATGCGAGATAACATACCGTCACAGTAGCAGTTATGAGACTTTTTGACTTCTACCAAATATATCAGATATTTTGCCAATCCATGTAATTATACCGACTTTCATCAAAATATGATATTAACAAATTGATTTTGACAAAGCTATCAATACTATTTTACACTATAAAATAGTCAAATATAGGACATAAATCATGCCTGAAGAAGAGCAAATAACATAAACCGTAATGTTCAAAATTTTGACTAACTTCAAATAAAAAGAATGTCTCATTTACAATTAAACCCACATGAATATCTATAAGGTCTTATTACAAAGTATACGTAAAAATACATTTAGTGGGGTGTAAATATGTGTTAACTTACCCTGTTGTACTCATGTAGATTGTTTGCAGCCACAACTTCATGGTATCGTGAATTGTTCACATACGTTATTTTATTGGTGTAGTCAATACGAGCATGCTCTGGTATATGATGTCCTTTATAAACGACTTCAGTTTCATATTCCTATTAAACATGAACATTATAACATTAAGTGCCTTCCCAGTTGCGAATAATGAAAGTGGCAATTCCGAGACTTATCGGCTATTCGCAACTAGTGATCTCTATGGTGTGAGAGTCTAAAGGAACTCTTTCAGCACGCTTTAGGTAAAAATGGTTTTGGTGACTGCGAGTAGAACACAAAATTGAAAAAGCATTTCAATTGAAATTTAATGAAATTGGACGCTTACCGATTGTTTTGAATTAAGATGGTGATGTAAGGCGATAGAACCCAAAACCACAGCTGCTATGATAACAACAGAAATAATAACAACACCAGCAAAATACTTGTATTTTTTGTTGTTGTTGGTCTTGTGTGGTTGGTCTATGGTCGACGCTGTTGGGAACACAACCTAAATGAAACAAATAAGTAAGAAACAGATTTCAAAATGGCTCTCTAAGGTGAAGCAGGTTATGATGAAGATTACCATACCACCTTCCAAGAGAAGCTCACCACTGTCGCTCCTATTAGAAATGCCTAACGCGGTCAATTTCTGTCAGATCATCAACTAAACCAAGACTTGAGTAACTATATCCCTATCGAATAAGACCAAACCAACTCCTCCTCTAGCCAGATCACAGTCCAATTTCCAATTCAACAACTCCAAAGCCATTGCAAATCACACCATCGACAACCATTATTTCCTCTTCCAAACTATTCAATCACCAAAACAAAGAGCAAATCATCATGGAATCTTCCTGTCTAAAAGAATTCCACCCTAATCATTAGATCGTAAAACCTCAACCGAATAACCCAGACTACTTCAGAAACCGAAATCCATCACATCCAGTCTATCATCGAAAGCTATAACTATGATTCTGAACCATCCACGTTGGCCTCAACAATCATGGCCAATTACCAAAAACCATCTACATCCAAGCCCAGAATTTGATCCCAACAACCCAATACAATAGTCTTTCCCAAAAAAGAATCTCCAATCCATTAACAACATGAATCAGCAACCGACGCTACAATCCTACAACCTTACCGAGCAGAATTCGAACCAGTTGACAACGTTCACTGGTCTCCAGAAACAGCAAACAATAATTATTTGTTTGGGGAAAGCCAACTTCAAACATTACATAAGTTTTTAAACTAAGATAACTTGCCAGGCAAAGTAATATACGCCCACTGGCAGCTTTGATTTTGAACATAAATATTTAGCAGTACAGTAACAATCACCAGTATGAAATATTCAACCTTCAGTCATACACTTCTTTTGAACTCTTTAGGGCGATACTGAATAATATTGAGTATGTGTATTGCCCTAGTTCTTGAAAATGTGTTCTTTAGCTCGTGAAAACTCTAGAAGACAAATATTCAATCGTCAGCGCGGTAATGAATAATAAAACCAAGATTTGTCAAAATTCGGCAAGAATCATGTCTTGTAGAGTTTTTACGAGCTACAAATTGAACGAGTTTTCAAGAACAAGAGCAATAACTCATACTAAATATTATTCAATTTTTCTGATTTTCGATAGGGTTTATCCTTGGGTGATTACAAAGACACACACCAAGTTTCGTCAAAATCCATCAAGAATTGTGCCTTCAAGTGTTTACAAGCTAAAATTGAACGCGTTTTCAAGAACAAGGGCAATAACTCATACTAAATATTTTTCAATTTCCTGATTTTCGATAGGGTTTATCCTTTGGTGATTACAAACACTCCACCAAGTTTCGTCAAAATCCATCAAGAATTGTGCCTTCAAGTGTTTACAAGCTAAAAATTGAACGCGTTTTCAAGAACAAGGGCAATAACTCATACTAAATATTTTTCAATTTTTCTGATTTTCGATAGGGTTTATCCTTGGGCGATTACAAACACTAATACCAAGTTTCATCAAAATCCGTCATGAATTGCACCTTCTAGAGTGTTTACGAGCGTTTCAAGAACAAGGGCAATAACTCATAGTAAATATTTTTCGATTCGTCTGATTTTCAATAGGGTTCATTCTTGGGTGATTACAAACAACCATACCAAGTTTCGTCGAAATCAGTCAAGAATTGTGCATTTTAGAGTGTTTACATTTCATGTGGGCGTATAAAAATAACTGAGGATGAAAATACTGAGAGGCCCACTAGGACAAACTGTAGTGAATTTGAGCCATACAATTTTTACACGCCTTCAACATTCAATCTTAGACTAAAGTAGCCAATCTTGACTATCTACATCTATTGAACGATTCCAGCGTAATCTAAGGTGCACATATTTTTTCCAAAACCTCTCCCTGAGTAGTGCTTGAACCGTATTTATTTCCTAACCCAGGAGGAAACCATCCAAGGCGCCATGAATCCATAAATACTGAAAAGTTTTGCAAATATGAGCAGTCAAACTTCCAAGATATCGATCACACACGAGAATCCTAAACTTGCAGCCTTGTACCTACTCAAGAAATGTTTTGTCATTTTGAATCAAGAGGATCATATTTAGAAGATGAGCATTAACTGGAGAATCCTAAGCATTATGCTATTTTGCATGAGCCGATTTTCAAAGAAACTGCTTCTATAATCAACAATTTTTGGTAATTTAGTCAAAGTAAGTTATCTTAAACAAAAACAATATGACTATCTGTCTGCCAAACCTGATAGTCGTGAAAAACATTTATATTCTTTACTCAAGATCCATAAGAATCCTGCCAAGGAGTGGTTTATCTCTGACCGTGCCCCGAAAGGTCGTCCGATTATATCGGACTGTGGTAATGAGTCATATGTGATATCGATATTATATTAACCACTTCTTACTACGAGCATCATCGAGCTTACCTTAATGACACTACTGATTTTCTCAATAAAATAAAAAAATTGATTTCCATCGATGTGTCGTCTATGTAAACTAATATCGATAAAAGAGCAGGGTTACTATCAGTTCGAAAAGAGTTTGAAAGAAACATGGACCCAAACAGACCCCATGAGGAAATTCAACAGCTCCTGGAGATTTGCCAAAGTCGCAATGTTTTTGCATTTAATCTGCAAACCTCAGAAATTGCTATAGGCATGCGTTTCGCCTCTTGATACACAAGTCTTTCTATAGCAGAGAGGAAACAAGAGGTATCACCCCTTTGTCCATTCGACCCATTGTTTTATGACCGTTTTCTTAATGATAATTTCATGGTTTGGACATATTCAATAGAACAGTATTGGGAATTCTTTGAAATCAATAATCACCATCCATCCATTACTGCCAACGTTAGTCACAAGAGCATATATTGTTTAGATACTACCCAATGCATACCTTTTCTGGAGTAATTATGTCACGGATATACGATTTCACCGAATTTGCACAAGATCAACCGATTTCAACCAAGCCTGATTGTTTTCTTAAAACCGAACGAGCGTATGTACTCTTAAACGATTTTTACGAAACATTAAAATTTACTTGATTTCATGCAAGAAATGCCCCAAACAATACGACATAGGAGAAACTAAAAATATTCTACGCACTCGTTTTGAGACTCAAAGATCAGATATCAAATATCAAAGAAAGACAAGCCTGTTTCTAATCATTTCAACTTGGACGACCATTCGTCAGACTTTCATATCCTAACCCCCATTTAGCGCACAGTAATTGACCTGCCAGAAATTGAAACTACGCAATTCCGTCAAGCTAAGGAAGCCCATTGGATTTAAACGTTAAATACAGCAAGACTGATAGGATGAATGTTCACCATAAAGCAGACTCGTTTCGTTCAATATAAGCAGCAATCTAGCAAGTAAGGTAGTTCATGCTCATTATGGGATTCTGCAGGAGTCCCGTATCTACAAACAAAAGATGATTGTCGTATATTTAAAAAAAACTAAGTTTAAATGACTAAAGACAATTGATATATAACAAACTAACCTGTCGCCCATTGGGGAATTTTATCTTATACCCAACAGTTCCAGATTGCCTTAATCATTTCTAAATGAAGTATTTGTTTCATTTTAAGCCTGTACTTTTGGGAGAATCAAATCCTCCCTTCCCTGAAAACTAATTTATTCTTTGCAAGATTACGACTAATACGAATTAATCTTTTTTTTTTTTTGCTTACATAAAATGCATTCAAGTCTATGTTAAAACTTATCTATACGTGTATATATTTGCTCACCTTGATGTCTTGGTCAGTTCCCTTTCCTCCGACTTCAACTGTTGGTGGTGCCATGTCGTCAGCTTACAACCCAGATTTAAAGCAGATGAGTCCTGTTTGTCTTTGACTATTTCAATCTCAACATTTATATACCTTCCACCAATTCTAGTCCAACCTATCATATTAAGGGATTTTCTACTTCCTTGTCCTTGAATTCACCTTTGAATTCACAAATGTAAGTGAAGATGACAGAAGGATTTTTTTTTATCCTTATTTCTTTCTTGATATGATGTTATTGCTTTAGTTTTAAAAAATCGGTTTTGATGTTTCAAAAGAACAGGATCTAGATTCAATAACAAACTTAAAACAAATATGCCCTAGATTATATAATGTATATTGTATTTCTACACAAAAAATGTTTGAACCCACCCTGATCACATTTTTAAAACGCCCACAGCAATTGTGGTGCGTATATTGGCGTCACTCATGGCGATCGGCTTGTCCGTCGGTCCATCACTCCATAAGACACAATTTTTAAGGATTTGATGAAATTGTGAATTATCTCCTAAGGATGAACCCTATCAAAAAATATTAAAATTTAATATGAGTTAATGCCCCTGATCTCCAAGAAGGAATATCTGAAATTGTTCATTATCACCTATTCGATTAACCAAAAATAGAAAATATAAGTTACTGCCCTTGGTCTTAATTTGCTGTCGTACTTTCTACATTCGAAAGCGACAATTTTAAAACATGAACGACATATCACAAACACATGACAATATTCTGGAATAAACACACTATTTTAAGCACCTATTAGTAGTGATAACAATATTTAGAAAACAACAACAATGGGAAATTTTGAAAAGTGTCGCAGCCCTAAATTATGCCTATTCTATTGTATGTCTATTTTATTTTATTTTATATTCTGACCGTTGAGAGGCTGTTGTGATAGTCACGGAAAGTTATCCATATTATCAGATCTACATATCCACATATACTTCTCTTTTGCCATTCTATAAACGCCAATAATGCCAATGAGAGAAAGGAATTATGTTTAAGCATATGAAGATGGATGTTACCTTGTCTAACATTAATATGTACTAAGAAGTGGTGTTTATGCACTTCTTTAAGGGGATCTCCATTGTGAACTAAGTTTACATTTCTTTTCTACTACTGTTTCAATATGTTTAGCGTTTTTGAGTAAACTTTTAAATTTAAATTGTACCGCTTTCAGCCATCCCACGACGGTGTGAACAAATGTTATTACGTCGTTACGAGTTTGTATATTTGGGGTTTTTCCATGGTCACAGACATCAATGTGTTTACTCAGTTGAATCATTCTCATTTTGGGCTCCCTGATTTATCGTATGTGCATGTCATTCTGTTCTGCAAATTATTTGTACAGCCAAGTGTGCAATAAGGGAAAATTTGCCAGGGCAGTGGCTCGATTACCAACTATCGAGGAGTCTTAAACGTGCACGGTTTTAAGTACACGGGGCCTCGGTTTATTGTCCCATTCTTACGACTATACACTTTTTGTATGACAACCCTTCCGACCTGCATCACAGAAACCGTATCGAAAAATCGGAATGTGTTGCAGCCTAAACCAACCAACCTTGTTTGTTCCTAACCACTCTTTACTTTTCGATATATAATTGATATTTAATCCAAAAAAATATTTTTTAAATGACTGACTATTTGACTGCCTAAATTGACTATGGAATTCTATTGAAATAGAGAATCCCTGCTTCAACAACGACTTCGAGGTAACCATACGTCCGTGTCAAAATGTATGCTTACGGCGTTCCGATTAAAGAACTGCGTTGCATGCTTATGAGTTTTTTTCTAACAACAACCGCATTATTTTAACGGGGCAACTCCAGTGATTCGGGAAAATAGAACTCTTTGGATGCCAATTCACCTCTGAAATTTTTGTTGTTTTTGATGGTCAATGTTACATAACCTCGGATAGTTGAGAGTACAAATAAATCGGGTTTCAGTTTATAATGGAATTCATTACTACGTGTTGCAATATGAATCATTAAATAATACCAAACCGCGTGTCTTAATAATATTGGGGAACTTTGTGCATCTTCATAAATCTGTTTTTTGAATAATTTCATTGTGCATAGTGGGCTTTAATAATCCTTGTGCAACTATTTGCTCCAACAAACCACCAAACACCCCAGTAGAGTGTTAAAACTGTTTGTCTTTGACTATGTTAATGTATCTTTTAAAATTTTCAAGAGTTCCTGTGATACACCTTTGAGCTTCACAATAAAAGTGAAACACTGAAAAGTATGTTGCAGAGGCTGTGACTAAATCAATATTCCGACCAGTAGTCTCAAAGCCCCAGTCTGCAAAAATATATGAACTGTCCGATTGTCAGTTTTATCATTAAGAAAAATCGATGATGTTTGTACCTTTAAATATTTTAAGGGATCAAGCTGTGCTTTTGTGGATTTCGCATCAAACAATTTTTTGGAATCTTGTGCATGTGTTTTCATTGCTGGCTAGCACTTGAGAAATTGTGACTTTTTTTAATCAAAACTTGACGCATTTTGTACGATCTAAAAATAATGGTTGAACAGTAGTCAACCTTTTGTTACGAAACTCCTGAAAATTGATGTACAATACTCAGTTATCTCTGAGTGCGAATAAAGAATTTTGAAGTTGTTTTAGTTTTTAGACTGCATATAATTTATTTTAAGAAAATAAAGTGCATTGAAATTTATGATCTATCTATTTTAAGATAAAAAAATGGAAGTAGACCCACACAATATTCTGTCGAAAAAAGAAATGCATAACTTGGGGCCATATATACTGACAATCCCCCTTAACTTATTCAAATGTGTTCATGCTCGTGTGTTTTACTGTATTGTAAATTATGTAATTAGTTGTCAGTACCTATATATTATACAAAACAGTATGAACTAGAATGTTTTACTTTAATGACGATTGTCTCAGGATTTTATCGTTATTTTATGAACTGCAGTTTCAATGCTAAAAAGTATTTTGAGAAGATAATGCTATCTTTCAATTCTACCAATTTAATCAAATTTAAAAATCCCTCAGACCTTCAGCAATAACAGGGGGAAAACTGGATTGAAAAAAACTTAAGGTACCCCAAGAAAAGTAATAGTAATAACATGTACAATTTTAATTAAGCCATAGTTGTATTTGAATTGGTAGGGAATCCACAATAACACTGTTTATCAATACAGTGCATGCCTTCAGTACATTGACAGTTGTGTTTTTCGGCTTCTTTTTCACAATCTTTCTTCTCTCCGCATTCATCTGAAAGTAAAGGAAACGTTAATAGAAATCATCATTATCATGCAGAGTCTTGCTGCTCATTTCACCCAATATCACTCTCCAATTCGGAAATTTTTTTTTCAAGCGGTAATTTAAAAATCGCTTACGGTTTCATCATTCGCACTCTCCATGTTGACGTACGCTAAGTTAAAGGAAAAAAAATTTCACACGTATATGCGACCCCACGATTGGTCAGACACAAGCGTGTGCAATTTTAATAAAGTTACTGCCAGTGGTTCAACGTCTACGGGGCCCCACCCCCAGAAACAAGTAGTTGCCTAGCAAGATACGCCCACTTTCCTGGTATATACAAGGGCGGTCCCCAATCTGTGTCAAATTATAATAAAAATCTTATTGGTACATACAAAATTAAAAACATTCTAACATAAACTCACCAGCCAACAAATTTTGATTCCTTTTTTCTATTCAAGGGTAATAACTCAAATTCTGTTTGTCAAATTCGAACTTGTCAAAGATCTCAAGGACGGACAGGGGCGACGACAATATACGACCACATTATAAAATGCAAAATTAAAAAGCAATGTACCATACTATACAATTATAACCAAACTAAGCAACTAGCAGTATTTTCAAAATCTTTTAATCTTCCATTAACGGGCATTGTATTGAGAAAAATGATGACCAGAATATGGGACAAAAAGCAATCCCGGGGTAAGGGGC